AAACCATTATGTGACCATCAAATAGAGGCTCAAATATTTCATTCTGATACGCTTTTCCTTCAATCATCCAATTACTAACTCTTCCGCTGTCGTTATAGAAATCAGCGATGCGAAAAGCTAAATTCTTTGTAGTAATTACACGATGCGCATTGGCTCTCAGTTTACTTGATCTCTCAAGAAATTTAGCCTTTCCATAAAGCTCAGCATCTTTTATATGATTTTCAATATCTTCAACTGGCTGGTCTGAACAAAAATATAATTAAATTTCGATTATAATAAAAATTCTTACATTCAACGTCGGCAATACCCAAAGTTGACAAGACTTTTTCTATGTTTATGGTAGAATACTTTTCCTGGTCTCCCCAAGGTTCAAGGAGTAACACGGTACCGCCATCGACTAAAAATAATAATTAATTGATATACTTTATATTATGCAAAAATATTATTTTATATTTCACATACATCGTTTAAGATAAATTTCCACTCTGTAAGTTTTCTCCTCATTTGGATCAACTGAGAGCGGCATATGTGGTCTTTCTTCCTCTTGTACCTCCTCATCACCTTCTTCTGTATTGCCCAACCCTTCCGGTGGCGTATTATTCTTTCTAATTCTCCTTCCATGGGAACTCGAAGATGAAGCGCCACCCGAATGCTTCTTTCTTCCTCCACCTGTTCTTGAATGACCATATGTTGACATAGGAATATGGTGTTCATATCCTTCAGCATCTACATTACTTGGATCATAACCATGGAGATTTAAGTTTCCAAATTGTTGAGTAAATCCATCAAAATTATGATTAGAATTGCCTTCATCTTGGTTCCAGTCAGTGTTTCCATAAACATTACTTGGGGCATGGCCTTGTATAGGATTATGTCCAACAAGGTGATGAAAATTGTCATGATGTTGAGTATATCCTTGGTTCCAATCAGTGTTTCCAACTACATTACTTGGATAGTCTTGTCCACTTGGAACCCCTCCTTCGACCCAGTATCCGTTTGCATCCATGTATCCATAGTTTCCATAACCAGCGCCTCCGGGACCGGCGCTTCCATGACCGCAATTTGCGAATTTTAACCAAAAAATAAAAATTAAATTGCTTAGAAGCATTTTAATATTTAAATTGTCAACTATAAATATTTTAAAAAATTTAAAAAAATAAATTTAAAAACTTCCCCAACTTATTTCCCTAACTTTTAGCCATTAAAGGACGATGTGTAAGTGCTTGGGTGGATACACTTATTTAAGAATACATTTATTTAAGAATACATTTAAGTGAAATTAAAACATTAAAAAATATAAACTGCCTGTTGATGGGGATTCAACAACTATTTATATGGACACGCAGCATTGGCAAACATGCCCATCGAGGCGGAGCATGCCCTGACATGCGCGTAAGTCTGTAAATTTCTCTAACCGCATTATATATAGCCTCTAATTATAGCTGCTGGGCAGACTGCCCTTAGCTTCTAAACTATAAGCAAGAGATAATTTTGGCAGCGAAATTCGGCAAGGGAAATCACATGCAATCAGGCTTTGTTTTATTTTATATTTCATAATCGAGTTTGAATTTAAATTTTAAATTTAGGATTTTCTATGCTTGCTTAAGCCCTTAATTCGCTTAATATTATAAGACCGTCAAAGCTTCCTGCAAGTTTAGCGTAATCAGGAGGGCTCTCTTTGCATCGGCATTTCTCAGAATCTAGACCCATCACTTTTTTCTTTTCCTTGGATAGAAGGAATGCCTCATGTCGAGGAATAAGTTTGGTCGGATTTCGGGTTAACACAGATCTAATGCCGAGAAGTCTGATTTTTTTATTGTAAAAAGTTTCATGGGAAAAGTCGGGGCTCGATTCGGAGTTTTGAAAATTTCCCGAATCGGGTTTCGGGTCTAAAAAAGTCCGGGTTTCGGGTAACCCAGGCATCTCTGTTGGATAGATAATACAGTTGCTTTACATTATGTCGGACATAGTATTTGATCTCTATTACCGGCATAGCCAAAGCAATTTTGTCTTATCTCATCTTGCGATTTAAACCGAAAATTCGTAGTGATTTAGATACCGTAATCTGCATCGCATGTTTTGCGCTTTTAAACTTTCAATTTTGGAGAACCAACAACCCTATAGAGTATGTCAGTGATATTGGTTTTAATGTAGCAACAAGCACTTAATTCCGATTTTTTTAAATTGAGAGGGATCGGATTTAATTAAATCCTCAGAAAATTTAAAAATCCTCAAAATATATTTTTATTTTTTAAATGTTTAGTTAGATTAAAGTTAAATTTTATTAACTTATTTGGGTGAGGACATAATTAATTTAAACAGAATTATATATTAAATTGGCTTTAGGATTGATTATTATAATGGAGGAAATATTTAATTGTCTATCATAAGGAAATAATTAATTGGCTATCATTGTCTATCCTTATCCTCCTTGCGTGCGTCGGTCATGTTTGTTTATTACATCCCTCGCATTTATTATTAATAGTATCGCCTGATTTTTAAAAGCGCTTTAATTGAGTTCGAAGTTTACCAACTAAGAGCTGTTTCGAAATTTCGATCTTCGATGACTTTTTCTTTAGATTTCCGATTTAAACTTCCGTTATTTTCTATTTGGATTTATTTTGAAATTTTGGCGCCAAATTGACGAATTCTGTCTTCTAGGCAATAAGACATTCAAAAAATTTTTTCCTGCGTCTTAAAACCTGTGTTTCTTTTTTCACATTTATTATACTATTCATGTTCATCCTGTGGAAAATTCATTGAATGTGAGATGGACTAGAACCATCATGGTAACGCCCAAACCGAAGCACAACCGCCTGTGCCACCATCCAACCCGATGATGGGTTAATTGTAATTGCCAAAGTAAGCTTATAGATAAAAAGGATTTATATCTGGTCATACTTTCGGCTTTTTTTAAATAACCCGTTTATGAGTTGATGATTTTAAAATTTTTTGTCTGAGGCGCTGATAAAGCAATAAATCAAGTGTATATCAGCAGATTTTCTGTTGATTAGGGTTGTGGTCTGGACAGAGCCGAGGCGAAGAACCGAGGATTTTTCGGTCGGTTTCTCTGTTTGTGTTATACATTATATGTCGCAGTTCAGACGTAAAGTTATGCACTATTTTGGTAGTAAAAATTTTTTTAGCTACGGTCGAATAAGTTATGCGATGAACTAAAAAATTAAATAAAACAAAACAAATCGGAGGAAAAAAATATAAAAATAAATTTGAGGGTCAACAATCAGATTCTTAAATATACAGAGAGATAGATAGTAGAATTTTCCATCGTAACACTGCTATCGAAGAGATATTTCCCAGGGGCTCCTCCGTTTGATAGAGTGTCTCCTTCTAAGTCACTAGAAGCTTTATTCCTAGATTTTGCCCAGCCCTAGGAGGTCGCAGGATCGAAGCCTGCCCGGGATTAAACTTTTACCTCGCTCTTACTATATTTAAAAAATATTTTAAAAGAAAAACATAAATTAGATATATTAAAGTAAAAATTAAAAAAATTAAAATAGTCAATCAACAATCATGCGTCTATCTATCAATCATAAGTCTATCATGCTTGTTTACTACCTGCCGCGCATTTATTATTGTCAATATCTTGTGATTTTTACATGCGCCTCTTTTGTTGACTATATGCTGAAATAATGCCCTTTGCCGATTGCTTTTCGTTGTATTCTTTTTTAAATATTATTTGGAAATCAGATTTATATTCACCGCTATATGCCTATTGCTGGAGAAAACCTTTTAATTTAGTTTAAACCCCATACTTTGACTTATATCTGAAACCTTTACACTAAGTTGTACCAAAACTAAGTTTAGAAAGTTAAAGACAAAATGCCGACACCGAACGATATCCTCTACTCAGACAGTTTCATTTGGTCCATGAGAGTATGCTGGAATACTCTACCTCAAATTCTAGATTCAAATTTTAGATTCTAGAGGACAAACGTCCCATATTAGTGTATGCGTCCCATGAAAGTATATGCATTCCAAAAATAGTATGTGCGTCCTATGAAATTATATACGTCCCAAAAATGGTATATGCGTGGGCACATAAGGAAAATAAATATTAAGAGAAGTTAAAAAAATTAAAAATACTTTAACGAAAATTGACCATTTTTATAAAGAAATAAAAAGTAAGGAAAAAAACGATTCGACCCTTCTTTTGGGATAGGGCTAACTTTTTTATATGAACACTTTGGATTTTCATATTTCTAAGGGTAGTTAAAAGTTAGTGGTAGATATAAATATAGTAAAGCAGCTGGCTATAGCTATTTACTCCTTTGCTTGAGCAAAAGTTTAGTCGGCGGCTGGGTGCGAACCAGCAACATCAGTAGACCGGACTGAAGTGTTATCCATTACACCAAAGCGTCTACTTCACAGCCTTAGGAAATAAACAGCTATATGCTTTACAATATTAAATAAGAATGATAAAAAGGTGCCGAAATGTATAACCTTAAAAAATTATATTGGAGTGAGGGTTCCTACTGGTTTTGGAGGAATAAAAGGAATAGCTTTTCTATAGCGTCTATGGATCTTTTGAAAGAGTTAGCATATGAAGTATTCTCGTCTGAGAGAAGAAGTCTCCTTCATTTGGGAGAAGTCCCTCCAATGTCAGTTTGGGATAAGTCTTCTCTAGTTGAAAGAAAAAGGAGGTCTTCTCCTTTTGGGAGAAAAAGGGGTTTTTCCAAACAAAGTTTTTACTTTAAGGTTTTCCCAACCTTAGACCCCTTCACACTCTGGTTTCCACAAACGGTGGAGAAATAGAGGTCTTCACCGTTTGAGGAAACCAGAGAAGTCATTTAGTTTTCCAAAAACTTCACTGTATTTCCTTTAAAATAGACCAAGTCTACGAAAAAAATTTTTCATCAACTCAGATCCCATACTCCAATATAATGGAAACGAAAAAGAAAACAAAAAGAAAAACGAAAACTTGAAGGCTCAAAGGTTTTTCCTTAGAGTCCGTCCTTTTTGAGCTTCCCTCTAATTCTTCTTTAATGGTTTGGAGGAATAATAGGAATAGCTTGCGTATATTTGTTGTTGTCGTAATCATTGCTAAATTTTGAAAATTTATAGAGATTAATACATCAAAACTATTCGCTTACAATTTTGCAAGTTCTGTCAATTTATCAAATGAGTGTTCAAAAGCAGTAGGGTATTGCGGCTTTGTTATACGTTCCTTTGCTGTAACTTGATTGTCCATAAAAGTAATATTTTCTGGCCAATTTTCATATACGAGCAATCTTGGTTGAAATTTATCTGCAGCAATAGCCGTTATGAATTCATAGCTAAAATGACGACATTTGAAGGGTATTGGTTTATCGTCAGAAGTACGGCCATCAATTACTTTGTAGTAAGCAATATTGAGGATTTGATACAGTGTTAATGGGCGAGTAGATACCTTTTAAATATTAAATCTATTATAAGGTGTATCAGGAGTGCGCGATTTCTCCTTAGCCGAATTTTTGCCATTTTTTCTATTGTGCCTTTTACTTAATAAATTGAATTTAGCCTGTGTCTTTCGCTGAATAATGAGAAACTTATGGGAAATTTATGAGTTGTATTTATTATTGGAGCATATTAGGGAGTCCAACTTATACAAACTATTATCAAGAAGATCTTTTACCTCCATTTTTCTACGTTTCTGTGGACAAAACTTGTCCTCCCTCCATCTTGTACCTCGTAAAGTATCCCCTCTATTCCAAACATTTTCATCAGGTATAATAACCAATTCTTTGTTTACTATTATAACAAAATAATTCTTCCTGTTAACCGAATCAAAGAGGTTTAGGCGATCCATTGTAAAATGAACTAGGAAGAGATTAAATATTTAATAATTTAGTTTGGTACTATTGCATTATACCGCCACATGTCCGTAAATAACCTTTTGAGAAAATAACCTTTTGAGAAAAGAGAAAAGAAAATTTTGTTATTAATCATTTACTGTTCTTTTAATCTTTAGGAGAAGAGAGAGGATGGAGAAAGAGGAAAAATCTGCGGATAACATTTGCGGACATGTGGCGGTATAATGCGATAGTACCTTTGGATGTATTGGGTTTTGTTTAGTTTGGATTTTAGTCTTCCGTTTTTATTTATTATAATATTCATGATAAACACTTACTTCTAAATCTCTCTTTCCCTTCCTCACCAATATCGTGAAGCACAACCATTATATGGCCATCAAACATAGGTTCGAATATTTCATTCTGATAATTTTTTCCTCGAACCATCCATTTGCTAATGTTTCCTCCTCTGTTACTCCAATCAGCGATGCGATCAGCTAATACCTTTGTAGAGATTGTTTCACCCTCAGCAGCTCTCAGTTTGCCAGATCCTTCTATAAATGAAACGTCTCCATATAGCTCAGGATCCTTTTTATGATTTTCGATGTCTTCAACAGGACGATCTGAACAAAAATTATAATTTCGATTAAGATAAAAATTCTCACATTCAACATTAGCTATTCTCAAGATTGACAATACTTTTTCTATGTCTATGGTTGAATACTTGTCACGTCCTTTCCAAGGTTCAAGGAGTAACACAGTGCCACCATCGACTATAAAAGATTAAATAATTGATATAATGTATATTATGCAGAGTTAATTTTTATTCAACATACATCGCTTAAGATAAATTTCCACTCTGTATTGTTTTGATTCATTCGGATCAATCGAGAGCGGCATATGTTGTCTTTCTTCCTCTTGTACCTCCTCATCACCTTCTCCTTCATGTCCCAATCCTTCATGCGGCGAATTATCCTGTTTAATTCGCTTTCCCCGGGACCTTGAAGAAGAAGCGTCACCTGAATGTTTTTGATCTCTTCCACCTGTTTTTGTGTGACCATAGGTTTGGATAGGAATATTATCTCCATATCCTCCAGCATATACTACATTACTTGGATCACCATGGAGATGTAAGGTTCCAAATTGTTGAGCAACTCCATCAAAATCATGATTAACATTGCTTCCATCTTGGTTCCAATCAGTGTTTCCATAAAAATTACTTGGGGCATAGTCTTGCGATAGATTATGTTTATGTCCAACTAAATGATGAAAAGTGTCATGGTGTTGAGTATATCCTTGGTTCCAGTCAGTGTTTCCATCTACATTATTTGGATGACCTTGCTCATTTGGAACCCTTCCTTCGACCCAGTATCCGTTTGCATCCCAGTATCCATAGTTTGCATAACCAGCGCTTCCATGACCGCAACTGGCAAATTTTAACCAAAAAATAAAAATTAAATTGCGTAAAAGCATTTTAATATTTAAATTGTCAACTATAAAGATTTAATTAAAGAAAATTAAATTTAATAAATATAATAAAAGATATATTTAAGAGAAATTAAAAATTTTAAAAATTATAAACTGCCTGCTGCTGGGGATTTAACAACTATTTATATGGACACGCACCATTGCCTAGCATGTTCATCGAGGCGGAGCATGCCCTGACATGCGCGTAAGTCTGTAAATTTCTCTAACCGCATTATACATAGCCTTTAATTAAAACTGCTAGGCAATTCGCAAAGGGCAAAAACATGGAATCAGGGATTCTCATGACTACCACATATGAAAAGGCGGCAAATTAAAGCAATTTTCATTAATAAATTTTTATTAAATTTTACAGAAAGTGCATCTTTTTACACTAATAAATTTATTTAAACCTTATATACGTTCATTTATGTACGATTTCCTGTGTTGACTTTTCTATCTTTGTTTTATTTTATATTTCATAATGGCATCCCGTTGCATGGGTGCGGTTGCTCTCTCATTACTGCATAGACAAAGCAATTTTGTCTTATATTCTATCTTGCGATTTAAACCAAAAATCGGGGCGATCTAGATACCGTAATCTGCATCGCATGTTTTGCGCTTTTAAACATTCAATTTTGGAGAAACCAACAACCCTATAGAGTATAAGTTTGCCAATGAGATAGGTTTTACTGAAAGAACATGCACATAATTCCGATTTTTTAAATTGAGAGGGATCGGATTTAATTCTATCCTTAAAAATTTTAAAAATCCTCAAAATAATTTTTTTATAAGTTTAGTTAGATTAATATAAATTTTATTAACATATTTGGGTGGGGACTCAACAATTAAAAAAATTTTTTTATTAAATTGTCTTTAGGATTAATTATTATAATGAAGGAAATATTTAATTGGCTATCATGTCTATCCATATCCCTCATGCGTGCGTCAATCTTGTTTGTTTATTACACCAGTGCACCTATTATTGACATTATAGTGTGATTTTTACATGCGCTTCAATTGAGTTTGAAGCAGCGCTGGTTCAAAATTTAGATTTTCGAGTAACATTGAGAAAGTTGCTCCAACTACGGAACAGGTTGTTCCGGCAAATGTACACTCGCAATTCTCATGTCCGCAAAAGATATTTTGTAATTATGTATTTATGTTACATTCATTTCTCTCTTCCTACCGTAATTTCCCTCAAATTGTTAAATTCTATGTTGACATTTGGGAGGAAAATAATGAATTGAGCTCAACGCAAAATTTAATTTTTTAATAGGATTTTTACACTTTATTTTTCTAAAGCTTTTGAAAATTAGCGCGCGTGCATACTATCATCCAGATTGTGTTTACCTTGAGCACAATTCCCTATTTTCCTATCCAAAGGTCAACATATATTTTAAGGAAAATTACGCTAGAGGAGTTAAATGCAGTTTAAAGTATATCTTTTACGGACATGAGGATTGCGAGCTGGACATTTGCCGGAACAACCTGTTCCATAGTTGGAGCAACTTTCTTCAATGTTACTCGAAAATCTAAATTTTGAAACAGCGCTGCTTCAAACTCAATTGAAGCGCATGTAAAAATCACACTATAATGTCAATAATAGGTGCGCGGGGTGTAATAAACAAACATGATTGACGCACGCACAAGGGATATGGATAGACATGATAGCCAATTAAATATTTCACTCATTATAATAATCAATCCCGAATCAATTTAATAAAATTTATTATAAGTAAATGCACTAAGTCACCACACAATTAAGTTAATAAAATTTACATTTATATAAGTTATAAAAAATAAAAAAATACTTTGAGGATTTTTAAATTTTCTAAGGATTTAATTAAATCCGATCACTCTCAATTAATCTGACCTAAAAAATAGGAATGATGTCCTTGTTGCTTTAGTAAAATAATTATAGTTAATCAAAATATTGGCCTTTATTTGTTTTGCAACATTATTTGAGGAGTTGTGGCATAGAATCGAAGAAATACTAATCGTTGTAAAGACGGATGAGTTAATAATGAACTTATTAGCAAATTCTTTTGAATTTTTGAGTCACCCCGCTCAGATCCATGGTCCATTTTTATCATAAAGACAGACATAATAAAAATTTATTTTATTTACAAGAAAAAATGTAAACATTTTTACATTTTCTCTAAATTTTAACAAAATTTCACTTATCAGTAAATATTTTTTTATTATATAATGCACCGAAAAATTGTACTTTGTTATCTGTTTCAGAATAAAATAAAAATTTTAATAAAATATTTCTTTAATTTTTCAAAAAATAAAACTTGTTAAAAAATTTAAAATTTATTCAATAATATTAAAATTAATTTATTTCTTATAAAAATTATTCATGAAAGTCTTGATCAATTGTAAAATGAGCTAAGAAGAAATTAAATATTTAATAATTTGGGAGTATTAAGTTGTGTTTAGTTTGAATTTTAGATTCATATAAATCATAACTTACTATGATATTCATGTTAAACATCTAATTTTAAATCTATCTCTTTTTTCCTCGCCAAAATCATGAAGCAGACCCATTATATTTCCATCAAATAGAGGCTCAAATACTGGATTCTGATAATCTTTTGCTTCAACCATTCAATCACAAGTGTTTTGGTGCTCGTTATAAAAAGCAGAGATGCATAAGCTAATTTCTCTGTAGTAATTACACGATGCGCATTGGCTCTCAGTTTACTTGATCTCTCAAGAAATTTAGCCTTTCCATAGAGCTCAGCATCCATTATATGATTTTCAATGTCTTCAACTGGCTGGTCTGAACAAAAATATAATTAAATTTCGATTATAATAAAAATTCCTACATTCAACGTCGGCAATACCCAAAGTTGACAAGACTTTTTCTATGTTTATGGTTGAATACTTTTCCTGGTCTCCCCAAGGTTCAAGGAGTAACACGGTACCGCCATCGACTAAAAATAATAAATAATTGATATACTTTATATTATGCAAAAATATTATTTTATATTTCACATACATCGTTTAAGATAAATTTCCACTCTGTAACTTTTCTCCTCATTTGGATCAACCGAGAGCGGCATATGTTGTCTTTCTTCCTCTTGTACCTCCTCATCACCTTCTTCTGTATTGCCCAATCCTTCCTGTGGGGAATAATTTTTTCTACTTCTATTTCCATGGGAACTCGAAGATGAAGCGCCACCCGAATGCTTCTTTCTTCCTCCACCTGTTCTCGAATGACCATAGTGGTGTATAGGAATATGGTGTTCATATCCTCCAGCCTCTACATTACTTGGATCATAACCATGGAGATTTATGTTTCCAAATTGTTGAGTAACTCCATCAAAATTATGATTAAAATTGCCTTCATCTTGGTTCCAGTCAGTGTTTCCATATACATTACTTGGGGCATAGCCTTGTGTAGGGCATAGCCTTATAATAAGTTTAATTTTTTCATAGAGCTTCATAACTTTTACATAATTTTCAATGTCTTTAACTAGATGATCTGAAGAAAATTTAAAAAATTCGATGAAATAAAAATTAGCAAGGTTCACATTAGCTATTCCAAAGGTAGTGCGAAACTTGCGGACCGACTTTTGCGGACCATAGGTTTAGGTTTTAGTTCTTCTATCGTAACTTTGTCCAAGCTTGTACAATCACGATGATTTTGATGTCAGTCGACTCGACTCGTAGAGCTCTTTCGAATGAGCTATGTTTTGAGAAATTCGTCTGGTCCGCAAGTTTCGGTCCGCAAAGGTTGGTCCGCAAGTTTCGGCCTGCCATTTCAAATGTTAACATGACTTTTTTACTGAAACACTATTTAAAAAACATTATCAATATCCATCCGATCCGGATTAAGCTATTATTTGTATATAAACTGGTCCACATACTTGGCGGGAATACAGTATACTTTTGATAGAGTTTATATGGGGGTATCAGTGCTAATGCGTTTTTCTGACCGTTATATTACTCGGAAAAAAATCTAAATTTTTTAAATGCTTTATCAAAATCGGGGGAATATAAGCCGATTGATAAAAAATAAATCCGAGGGTCAACAATATCGGATTCTTCAATCTACAGCTAGATGGAAGAAAAAATATAGGTACATATGCAGGTTTATAGAAAGGATAATGGACTAGATGGAAATCAGAACTGGGTAATACTTCGGTTTGTGTGACGCATGTCTTCTCATTTTTAATCACTAAAAGAAATGAGGAGGAAGAGCTTTTTCGATATTTTTGAGGTTTTCCAGTTGTAAAAGTGCTAATCAAATATGAGTTTAAATTTTAGTTAGTTCGAATTCAAGGTACGAATACGAGCTTCCAGTTATCTATAAAATTTTAATTTCTAAATTGAATCTGACATGGTCGAATTCGGGTCTGAGAAAAAATTTGAAAAATTAAATTTGAACTCATATTCGAATTAGCACAGATACATACCACTGGCAAACCTCAAAAATATCGCATAAAAACTTGCTTTTTTTCTAGTGATATAAAAATGGGAACAAATACCTTAATGCTAGAGATCGAAAAAGTCGTACGAGAATCGAGATCTCGAAAAAAATCTCGATCTGATAATCGAGATTTTTGATCGAGATCTCGTCTCGGTCTGATCTCTACTAACTATTACCCAGAACTGACTCGAAAATTTTGGTGATTTTCAGACAGCAAAGCCAATGAAAAAATATAAATATAAGAGAAAATGATAAAATTGTGCCGAAATATTTAAATTTAAAGTTTTGTATAATACATAATTTTAAAAAATTTTCAAGTTAACTAATTTACACCTTCCTAAAAATCGGGGTATCTTTAAATTTTTTGTAATATTGTTATCGAAATTTTCCCCAGTTTTCTTTTGTTTGTCAGAAAAAAGGTCTCCGTTTGAGAGACGGGTCCTACAATTTCCGTTTGTGAGGGTCTCTGGTTAGGAGAAAAAAAGTCCTTTCCGTCTGATTGAGGGCCCTCAGAGGTCCGTTTGAGTGAAGTCTAGTCCGGGTGAAAAAAATTAGAGAGAAAAAATTAAGTCTACTCTTGCTATGAGAGGGTCCTCTGAGTTGCATTTTGGCTAAGTTAACTCCGATTGAAAGAAAATTGAGAAAAAAGTAGTCTACTCCGGGAGAGAGATGGCTCTCCGAGGTTCGATTAGGATGAATCTACTACGAATGATAAGATTCCCTTTTTTAGTTATTCAATACCCTAATTTTAAATAATTTCAGCACCTCTGTTTAAATCTAGAAAGGAAAAAAAGAGAAATTTGGGGGTTTGAAATTTTTTTCTTCAACAGACAATCCACTTTTTTGTTACCTTCTGATCCTCATCTACAGGTTTGGTGGAACAATACGAATAGCCTTAGTATAGACATCATTGTAGTAGTCAATGCTAAATTTAGTTATAAAGAAACAAAGTTTATATAATTTTGCTTAGGCAATCTTCCATTGAAAATTAGAGTAGACCAGAGATGTCACATTCCTGGGAATCCCTAAGATATCCGTGTCCAAGTAGAATCCCTCGGATATCCGGGCCAGATATCCAAGCCGAATATTTTCGGATACATTGCTAAAACACTCCACGATAATAACTAAAACACTCAATATATAAGCACAATAGCGTAATTATTATTATAGGGTTTGCCTTATAAATAATTTAGAAGGTCAAATGATTTACTTTGATGGAAACCAGGGGCTGAGAAAATTGTCTGGGCTCGGGTATCAAAATTTTCTTAGGATCGGGGTCCCAGTCGAAAAGAAGTTCACGGTTAATTTTTCGGGTAACACATGACATCCTGATATAAACAAGGGTTACCGCATCCTGGGAAATCTCCCGGATATCTGGGCCCGATATCGAAGCTGAAAATTTTCGGATACACATCCGGATCATAATCCGACAACCCTAATAGAACATCGCCATTCAATATACGAGTTGCTTTTGCGATTTTTAAACAGAAATTGCGGATTGCGATGCGGACACCCCCCCCCCCCCCGATCGAAAGACCCGCTAATTAAAATTTTATATTAAGCTTACAAAGTTGAAAGTTCCACCAATTTTTCCGATGAATGGTAAAAAGCTGTTTCATTTCCCTCCTTTTTTTCTTTAAGTTGGTCGTCTATAAAACGAATATTTTCAGGCCAATTTCCATATTCAAGCAAAATTATTTTAAATTCATCTGCAGCAATAGCCATTATGAATTCGTAACCAAAATGACCACATTTGAAGGGTGTTGGTTTATCCCCAAAAGGATTTACTTTGTAGTAAGCAAGGTTGAGAAGTTGATACAAAGTTAATGGACGAGTATGGACCTTTTTTGAGTATAATTCAATTAATCAGAAAGGATATATGCATGTGAGCGGAAAGGATTTTATACCTTTTATTAGTTGTCAATTATATCTGCCTCGGGACCCTTTTCGAAATATAAAATCTATTGAAAAATAAACTCGAAAATCGAAATTTTGAAAAAGTTATGGAGATAGCTTAGACATTACCAGAGCCGTTTCGAAAATAAATCTTCGAAAATCGAAAATAGAAATTTCGAAACAGCTCTGTACATAACTCAACTAGTTATAACGTATTATAATAAACGTATACATAGTAAGTTAAGGTGTATCTATCGTCAGGTGTGTCTTTTGAGTAGAAGTAGACCCTGCCTACTTCTACTGCCTACTTCCCGAACCCTGCCCCGAAGTAACTTTAGAACAATGCATTTTTGCTTGCAGCGCTAAAAAGGACGACTTTTGGCTTCTTGGCCTAGTAAGATTACAAAAAGTTTAGCCTGAGGCGCCAAAAAGAGGTGAATATTTTCTATTTAACCTTTAAGTATAATTAAACAGATGCATTTTTGTCTAACTTTTGACGTTTTGAATTTGGCGCATTTTAAAAATTTGAGTTCCAAAAAATTTTGGGGCACAGCCCTGATTAAAGAACCCAAACTTATGCAAAGCTGATCTTTTACCTTAAGTTCATTTCTCCGTCTTATACCTCGTAAAGTTATCTTTTGCGAATAAAATGTGTCATCCCTCCATTTTGTACCTCGTACAGGATCTCCTTTAACCCAAACATTTTCCTCAGGCATAATAACCAATTCTCCCTCATGTGGAATAACAAAATAGTTCTTCTTGTTAACCGAATCAAAGAGGTTTAGGCGTTCCAATGTAAAATGAACTTAAAAAAGTTAAATATTTTATACGTAATTTGGATGTATTCGGTTTTGTTTATTGTGGATTTTAGATTACTATAAATCCGAAAGTATGTTGTTTACGCGTACGTCTTTCATGTTTACTTAATTATAATATTCATGATAAATACCCACTTCTAAATCTCTCTATCCCGTCAAGATCGTGAAGCACAACCATTATGTGACCATCAAATAGAGGCTCAAATAGTTCATTCTTATAAACTTTTCCTAGGACCATCCAATTACTAGGCTTGTTTACATCGTTATCCAAATCGGCAATTTGGTCAGCCAATTCCTTTGTAGTCATTGTTTGACCCGCAGCCGCCTCCAGTTTACCAGAACTTCTTCTAAATTTAACGTTTCCAAATAACTCAGGATCTTTTTTATGATTTTCAATGTCTTCAACTTGACGGTCTAGATAAATTATTTAGTTTAATTTGCAAAAAAAAATGGCAAAAATAAGAAACTAAAATTAGATGAATAGGAAATTCTTACATGTCACATCAGCAATTTTCAATGCTTTGACAACTTTTTCAATATTTATGGTTGAATACTTTTCATGAACTATTTCTTGTATTTCCTTCCTATGTCTAAGTACTTCCGTCCAAGGTTCGAGAAGTAACACAGTACCGCCATCGACTAAAAAGATGAAATTATTGATATAATGTATATTATGCAGAGTTAATTTTTATTCAACATACATCGTTTTAGATAAATTTCCACTCTGTATTGTTTGGGTTCATTCGGATCAACTGAAAGTGGCATATTTCCTCCACCTTGTACATTCTCACCACCTTGTCCTTCGCCTTGATTTCCTAGTCCTTCCGATGTCGAATCGGTCTTTCTGGTCCTTTTCCCACGGGACCTCGAAGAAGACGCGTTACTTGACTGGTTTTTTCTTCCTCCACTTGTTTTTGTGTGACCATAATTATGCATAGGAGGATGTTGTCCATCGAAGTTTTGGTTCATAAATGGATGGAGATTAGCAAATTGTTGATTAACTTGATTTAAATTATAATCAGCATTGTTTCCATATCCACCAACATTACTTGGGAAATGGTCTTGAATATAAAAATTCTGTCCATGGAGAGGTAAATTATCATGATGAACAGCTCCAGTAAAACCAAAGTCATCATTGTTTCCATCATGGTTTACATATCCGCCATCATGCACATTAACATGATGCATAGGGGGATAGGGTCTAGCATCGCTATCTTGATTCCAGCTCATATGGCTTCCATAACCGCAACTTGCCAATTCAAAGCAAAAAATAAAAATTAAATTCCGTAAAAGCATTTTAATATTTAATTTGTCAACTATAAAAATTAAAAAAAGTGAATTAAATTAAAAACTGATGCATTATTGCTATATTAAATTCACTTTTATTTTCCCAACTTTTGGCCATGCCAGGGCGGAGTATCTGAAAATTAAGAGTGGAGTTGTAGAGTGAAGGAGATGCGCAGCGCTTGTAAGAGAAAAGGATTCGTGCAGCGGCACTTCATGCCTTTATAATAAATATATGTATATGTGTGTATCCAATATTATGTATATCCATGTATATAGATATTCATTCATGTATATAGATATCCATGTATATAGATGGATATCTATATACATGGATATAGATTTTGAATCGATAATCTGTGATATCCACGTATTTTACTTCCTCTTAATATTGAATTTTAAAAAATTCTTCCTTATAGACAGGCTTTACGACTAATGCGGAACTGGAAACTTTGACGACAATTGCGGACGATAATTACGGAATTGACAGTTCCGGATTTAAAATTTTAAAAAATTTTTAAAAATTATTGAAATGGATCCGATTTTTAGCACGGCTGTAGGTATCCTACAATTCTAAAATAGATTTAAATTTTATAACTTGTACAGTTTCGAACAGCTGTAGATATAAGTTAATAAAAATAACGAATTTTAGGTTCAATACAATTTAAATATATTTTCAACGAAGAATAAAATTTATTTTGAAAATAAATTTTCTACAAGAAATGGATAATTTTCAATTTTTAAAATTGAAGGCGGAAGTGTAAGTAAGCATGATAAAATAAAAAAGTGGCAGACGGATGGCGGAATCGGAAAGGCCAAAAAAGGGCAGAATACTGTGGATAGCGGAATCCATCCCTGATGTGTATGTATATCCATGTATATGTATGTACATATATCCAATCCCAAGCGTGCGTCAGGCATGCCTGTCTATTATCCATCGCTTCAATTATTGACATTATCCTATGATTTTTACAAGCGCTTCATGTAAAATTTATTGACTAATTTTTTTAATATTCAATAATTAAAAAAATTTAAAAAATCCAACAATTAAAAAAACTTTTGTTTTATTATTGAATTTGAAGATTTAAATAAATGCAACACGAGAAAAAAATAAATTTGAAAATTTGAAAAATTATCACCAACGGAGGCACAAGTTTATAAAAAAATTTTTTTAATGAAAATAAATTTATATTTCAATTTTTAAATTTTAAAAATTGAAAATTAAAAAATGAATTTTTATATTTAACATTATCAAACAAAAATGAAAGGAGAGAAAAATTTCTCAAAATAATTATTTTTTTCAATTATTATACAGAATTATTATTAATTCTTCATAACATCGCCAACTACTCTATTTGAATATGTAGGAGATAAAGCAGCCGAGATTGGAGCTGATAGAGAAAAGGCGCGAAGTGAAGGAATTACTTAAAATTTTAAAATTGTTAAATTTATTTTTAATTCAACGTTATGCGTCCAATGGACTTTTAAGCGTCCCATGGATTTTTAAGCGTCCCAAGAATAGTATATGCGTCCCATGAGAGAGTATGCCCATGGGACGCTTAAAATCTCATGGGACGCTTAAAAGTCCATGGGAAAAGCTATGGGACGCCTAATTAGAGTCATCATTTTTTAAATTTAAAATAAATTTAAAAAATATATATTAAATGTAAGTAAAACTTTTTTTACACCCTTACCATCATTTGTCAATAAATCAACAGGAGAATGAAAATCAGAATTAAATGAGAAATAAGGCGAAAATGGAGAGTTAATAAAATCGTTGCTGCTAGAATTGTTTCCATTGTTGGTTGAGGTTGAGGTATATGAAGCAGAACAGCTACTGATACTTGAGGTAAAATGATGGGCAATATCGTCATTGTCTGTTATATTAAAATATATTTTTATAAACTTTCCGGAGATTAAATATAAACATTCTGGAAACAGCAAATTTCCGGAAAATATAAATATTTTTAACTTTCCGAAAACAATATTATACATACTATAATATTAATTTAATTTTTGCGGAATTGTATTTACCTTCCGGAAAAATTTATAAACTATACGGAAAATAATAAATTTATAACTAAAAGTAAAGTTTCCGGATTAAGTCATTATTAAAATGCAATGATCCTCTACCTTGTCTTCCATCATCGCTGCAGGAAGAACACGAATTTATGCTACTGCTTGCTGAAGAAGAATGAACTGAATGTTGTGAACTTGAATCTCCACTTAAAAGAGGCGTATTTCTATAATGGTACTCCAAATTTAAAGAATCCTCTGCATCGGAAGAGGAATAATAAATTTCATTATCTTCATTATCCAGATTTGGAACATGAGTAGCCTCAAATATAAAATTAATTATAAAAAGAACGACTAAACACAGAATTTACTTATAAACTTAAGTTTCCGGAAGTAAATTTAAATTTACGGAAATAAATTTAACAGAAATTAAACTTTCCGGATTTATTTATAAACCTAAGTTCCCGGATATACCTAACACATTTATAAAAATTAAACTTTCCGGATTTACTTTATAAAATTATGTTTCCGGAAAGTAATTTTTAAAAATTACATTTCCGGAATTATTTATAAACTTAAGTTTCCGGAAATAAATTAAATATAAATTAAACTTTCCGGAATTATTTTTAAACTTAAGTTTTTAATTAAATATAGATTAAACCTTCCGGAATTATTTATAAACTTAAGTTTCCGGAAATAAATTAAATATAAATTAAACTTTTCGGAATTAATTTACGGATATTAATTAAATAAAAATTTCCGGAATTAATAATAAATTTTTTACCTCCAATTCGCTATGATCACTATTGTTAACAACCTCCTCAACATTTCTTTCAGGAAGAACATCAACTGAAACATTTTCTTTGTTTAATACTGCATTTTTAGTAGGGGTTGTATTTCTCTCCTCAGACTGTTCTTCCTCCTCATCTATAGCCACCAAACGAGGTTCAGAATTTGAGCGTTTAATCTTCAAAATTAACAGAATTTTTTTCAAAAAAATCTGAAGCACCTGAGGCCTAAAATTGAGAGAACCCGTTAAAAGAAGCTGTTTACGCCTCGGACAGCTAATATTATTTTTGGAAAGAAGCAATAAAAGCGAATTTTTGCGAGCACGTTCAGTTGCCAATTTTTCCCGTTTATACTCCTTAATTGGAAAAATTTCAATTTTTAAAATTCTCAAAATTAATTCCACTTGTAAAGCAGCCTGTAAATATTGGTTTAATAATTTCTCAAGTCGTTCAGGCTCTGTTGGCCTTTTGCATAGAACTGCATGGCATCTAAGCTCGGGTTTCATACGTTTGCCTTCGTGTTTGTAAATCCAACAAAAAACTCTCTAAAAATTAAAAAAAATTTTTTTTTTAATTTTATAGGGTAGAGAATATTTAATTACGACTATATTCCAACCTCGATATCCAATACCCCTAATAAAAGGTACCCCTCAAATTTAAAATACGTTTACTAAAGGCTAGTTTGGGGGGAAGAATGGAGATGCCGAGAGAGCATCAGTTTGATGTGAAATGGAGGTGTTGAGGAAGCTGCTTAATGATACCTTCCATTTAATATACTCCTAGTTATAAGGGACAATTTTTCAATCTCAAGTGTGTATGTATTAAAAAAAGAGTGAATATAGTTCGATACCAAGAGTAGGACTAAATGAATTTTAAGCGAGGACTATTATTTATCAAAAAATAATTTTAAAAAATTCCAAAATTCACCGGATACTGCTGCGGAGCTGAACAAAAAGTAATTCTGTGTGCCCAATATTCGGTTAGCCCCAATTGCTTCGTTTCCGTCTTTATTCCAGAATGGGTAACACATAGACTCATTCGAATAGGTTGTGAATTAATCTTATTTTCTTTATGTTGCTTGTTATTTGTTTGTTTTGTAGCATTCCACATACGCCAGATAACACTCAAGGGCCGTTCGATGCTTGCTTCACCTTTGCCCAGACCGGCGGTGAGAACATTTCCCAAATAAATAACCTGAATTTTAAGATTATTTAAAACTTGAAGCAAAGCTTTAATTAAAAATATTAAAACTTGAAGCAAGTTTAATAAAAATTTAATAAAAATTCAAAATTCTGATTAATATTAAACTTGAAGCAGGCGGTTTAATCAAAATAAAGCTAAGTTTGAAACTTGAAATAAAACTTTGATTTTTAAGTTTAATCTTAAATTTGGAAGTAGGCCTAAAGAATAAAGTCTAAGTTTAAACTTAAATAAAGTTTAATTATTTAATAATATTAAAACTTGTAGCAAATTTAATAAAAATTGAAAACTTTGAAAAACTTTTCAATATTAAACTTGAAGCAGGCGGTAAAATAGAATTAAAGCAAGTTTAAAACTTGAAATATGTAAAACTTAATTTTTAGAGTTAAGCTTGAATTTGAAATAAGACTAAATGGTAGTCAAATTCCATTTAATTGTTTAAGTTATAAAACTATTTCAAGTTTTAAGCTTAAACCTGATAGTAAGCTTAGATTAAAGTTTAAACTTAACAAAGTTTAATTATTTCTTAAGTTCTAAATTGTTAAAGGTTCAAGATTAACTAATGTTTCAAGTTTACGTAAAATATTAAAATTGGTTTTAAGTTTAATAAAAATTGCTTCAAGTTTCAATTTCATCCTATTAACATTTAAATTAAAGTTTCAAGTTTACACTTATTAAAAAATATATTTCAAGCTTAAGCTTAATTTAATCAAGCTTAATTTAAGTTTCAAGCTTAATTTAAGTTTCATGTTTAAATTTAATTACCTGACACGTTGGTTCAGGCGGATTCATATCATAACTTTGTTTTTTCCGTCGGAATATAGAAGGTAATGAACTCGAAAAAATATTTGTAGTTGGTGTAGACATGCTGGGCATTATTTTAATTTTATTAAATATTTCTAATAAATTTTTGAAATAAATTTTTTAATTAAAAAAAATTTTTTTTTAATTAAAAGAAAATTAAATTTATATTTCCCATTTAAATGTCAATTTCTCAGCATTATTAGTTAAAATAAATTTATTGAGTAACCAAATATAGAGTTGACTAATAAGGAAATAAAAAACAAAGAATGAAAAATGGGCATGTCTGTTGAGGGGCAAATATCAAATTTCATTAAAAAATTAAAAAAAAAGGGGGAAAAGGGAGAATTAAAGTTTAAGTATTAAAAAAATTAAAATTTGGGATTAATTTTAAAAATAAAAAATAATAACTGGAAATTAGCGATATTATTTCCATTAATTTTATTTCCCAAAAAATGCTGTCTGCAACATATATATTTTTTGGTTACACTCGTAAAAGCATCAAAAAAGCTTATAATATTCATCACTTAACACAGATAATTAATCATTTTCTCATCCACACGTGTAAAGCAACAAAATTTTTATATTAGCTTTACTTGTTGGGGATGAGCGGGTAAAAAATAATGTTAAAATAGAACGAAAATGCACTGTGTGAATAACGATAAAAGGGAAATAACGAAAAAAATTGATAAAATCTAGACAGTTTTTAGCTGGAGGAAGCTGTAAATCTGTTGAAATAAAATGGGAGAATTTGACGTGATAACTTAGAAAGTTGGGTTAAAAGTGGGGGGATAAGTAGAAATGTGACAAGGATAAGGGGGAAAATAAGAAGTGATAACTGAGAAAGTTAGCTAAAGGTAATCGGAAAAGGATAAGGACATTTAAGGTCACGGGAGATAATAAGAAGTGATAATTGAGAGACTTGTGGTAAGAAAGTGCAGTAATGATAAGGAAAAGTTTATTTTAGATGACGTATATGTTAAAAAATGAAGATAAAAATATTTAAGATAACGAAAAGATTCATAAGGATAAAGAAAAGAATAATAAATGATAACTGAGAGAGTTATCTAAAAGTAATCGAATAAGGAATGTGGGGATATGGGAGAGAAGTAGAAGTGATACTTGGGAGAGTTGGGATAAATGTGTAATAATGATAAGGGAATCATGCATGATAAATGGTATTACTAGTATGAGGGATCTGTTAAAAAATAGTTATAGTTATAGCTGGGGTAATCATCCTTAAAAATTAAAGGCCGCTATTACTGTGGAAGTTAAAATTTTTACTAAAATTGCTTCGAGATAATTGATAGGTTAAGATAAAATTAAGGTTGGGTAGGTATTAAAGAAAGATCTCCACAGCTTGGAATGAAAAATAAATGATAGAATTTACCCCTATGAACTAAAAAAAAATTTTTAAACGAAAAAATGTAACATCGTTCACTACAATGCCCTCTAATTTAGCATAAAAATTAATTTATTCCATCATGCGTAAAGGACCAGAAGTATTCTCCCATTAATAAAATCACCACATGGATCGACACTTTCACTTGCCATCAAACCAAAAATTTTTGGGGGACGCAGTGGAATGTTGTTGATTATTTTATAGGGGGAAGATAGTGCGCATCTATTGAAGGAAAAAATTCTTTTAGTTTAACTAAACTGCGATAGGGGGATAGGTGGAAATAGAAGGTTATTTACTCCAAGTTGTTGTAAGGGGCAAAGTTTTTTTTGATTTAGTGTAGGCTAGAGGAGAAAGTATAAAAAAAATTTTCCCTCTATTTTCGACAGAAAATAGATAGAAAAATAATATTTTTATTGATAATATTTTTTATAAAATTCTGATTTTATTTGTTATTATTGTTTTTATTTGAAGATCACTTTGTTTTATATTTCTGATTTCTTTGTCTATTTATTTTATTTATTATTAGGGTTAATTTTACAGATTTTTTCCAATTTTGCTTCAGAATTAATAGATCTCATAAATTCTGATAACTAAGTGTAAATTCTGAAATAATTTGAAATATTCTGACAATTATTATATATAATATTAATTTCTGATTATTTATTCTGATTTAATTCAGAATAATTTCTGATTTGTTATAATTCATTTCTGGTTTATTTATGAGTAAATTCTGATTATTTATTCCGATTTAATTCAGAATAATTCTGATTTAATTCTGAATAATTCTGAATAATTCTGATTTAATTCAGAATAATTCTGATTTAATTCAGAATAATTCTGATTTAATTCTGAATAATTCTGAATAATTCTGATTTAATTCAGAATAATTCTGATTTAAAAACTGAATAATTCTGAATAATTCTGATTTAATTCAGAATAATTTCTGATTTATGTAAATCAGAATAATTTCTGGTTTACTCAGAATAATTATTCTGATTTAAATCAGAATAATTAATGATTTAATTATGATTATTTATTCTGATTTAGGTATTTATGATTTCTGGGTTATTCTGAATTATTTCTGATTTATTTCTGGGTTATTTATTATTCTGATTTTCTTAATTGTTTATTATAAGTCATAATAATTCTGATTTTATTATCAGTTATAATTTATTTATTTAGTAATAATTCGATATCGTATAAATATTTTTTAAAAATTAATAATTAAATTAATTAATTAAATAGTAAAGTCATTTGGTTATTTAAAAAAATTAATAATTTTTACTAAAATAATTCTAACACTGTTTAAACTAATTTTAGAAAAATTAGATAAAATTAAAAAGATTAATGATCAACTGATTGATAAAAGATAAAAAAATTAAAAAAAATATAATTTAATAACCAAAAATAAAAAATTGTGACAAGTAAAATTTGTAAAATTAGTGTGTAGTTTATGTCAAAATTACTGTTTTAACTGATTAAAATAATTAAAACATTAAAAAAAATTTTTTTTGATATTTGTCATTTATTTTTTTATTTCTGTGAAAATTAATTTTAATTAATTAATTTTATTCATTAAAATAGAAACTGAAGAAAGGAAAAAGGAAGAAAATTTAATTTTGATATGATTTTTAAAAATTATCTAATGATAAGAACTATCTATTAGGGTGTAACATAGATATTTAGCCACCCTTGTGGTAAGAGGATTAAATAATTATTAAAATTCAACTAAATGTTTTCAGACTTCAAATAATATTTTTCTATGATTCTATAATAGTTGCCTATTTTCTGGCAAAAGATCAGAATCCTAGGTTTAGGTTGGCCGGAGTTAGAGGTAAAATAATAATTCACATTTGAATATCTGTATAGAATGACAAAACAAATTAAATTCGAAAACTAATTTGAGCAGAACGAGATATCACAGGGCTTTGAATCTAATTTTATTCTGAATTATTTCTGATTTATTTCTGATCTTTTTCTGATTTTTTCTGATTTATTCTGCATGATAACTGAATTATTAAGTGGAACTTATACCCTATTTCTTGTTTATTTCTGATATAATTCTGCTATACAATTCTGATATTTTTCTGATTTTCCTGATCTATTTCTGATTTATTCTGATTTTATTCTAATTTTATTCTGATATAATTTTTCAACTTAATATTTAATCAAAAATATACCTTAAAATAATTTTTACGTTAAGGGGTAAAGGTCACACGAAATTGCTTATTATTTGAGTACCTTATATAAAATAATTATCTCAAGGTTATAAAATAAAGGTAAATAAAGGTCCTTTTTTATTAAATAAAAAATGAAAAAATAATAAAAAATTTCCCGATGAAAATTATAAAAAAAATAAATAAAAATAGCCAAGAATTCGAGAAAAAAATTCGAGAAAAAAATTTGAAAAAATTTTATTTTTAAAAACAATTTAAAAACTCAATATTGACTGATTAAGATTGCGCAGTGATGCGCGAGAGTAAAAATTAAATTGTTGAATTTGAATGGATTTAATTTTAATTTTAAAATAAACACAAACAAAAGTACCATGACTAGTCGTCATCCACCCACTCAGAAACAATTAAAAAAATTTTTGGGTAAGGCGGGGGAGGATAATAAAAAATTTAACAAGTGTGAGTGATTCATTGTAAACAAGGAAGTTGAAATAATTAAAATCAGGAGGGTGTGGAATTAATTAAATTGATAG